ATAAAACCCAGGAACGGATGATTTTCAAGTACTATTCACTTCTAACAAAAACAACAACGTAACACTATGGACAAAAAATGAACGGAAGGAAAGAAGGCTGGGGGAGAGAAAGAAATTAATTCTCATAAAACCTCCAAACCAAAACTTTCCATTTTCATCGTTTCCGGTTAGAAATCCAATTATCCAACTGTAGAAAGAGGTTGAATCTGGGCACTGCCAATACCATAGCCTTTGCCTCGAAAACACACGAATCTCAGGATTGGAAAACCAGGGGTCTGCCTCTTTCCTTTTCACCTTCCCCTTCAGCAACCTTACAAGATAAGTTTTAAATCCTCAACCCCGGCACTATTGAGACTTCCTCTAAGAAATGCAGGTGAAGCTGGAAGCCTACCGCCAGGAGTGGTCCGCTCCTCAGCCGGACCTGTCCGTGCGGCGCCGGGCTCGCAGCCCCGCCTCGCCGTAGTATCTCCGCGGCCACCCGGGCGCCGCAGGGGCAGCCGCGGCCAACCCCAGAGGCCAAGGAGCCCAGGCGGGCGCCGCGGAGTCCTGTTCGGTGACTGCCCCCACCGGGGAAGCTACTCTCGGGGAGGCGGCGACCCTGGCAGGGGATATGGGCAATACTGCCGTGAGCACGGAAGAGGGGCGTGACCGCCAGTTGGCCGGGCTGAGCCAGGTGCCAGAGATAACCCCAGAAGGTGCGGCTGCGAGACGGGGATGGGGGTGCAGGCGCAGGCTGGGAGACTCGGGGGCGTTTGCTCTTACCGCCAGGTCTGGATTGCGGCTGTCCCTATGTGACACAGCTCGGATGACCCCCGCTCGCCAGCTCCGCCAGCAGCGTCCGCTGTCCCCGAGCTCCGGCCGCACCTCTTCGCCGACCGCCACGCACAGGAACCGCTTCCCCACCAGCTCCGGCCGCGTCTCCACCGCCATAGCAGTCACTGCCAAAGTGGCCGCTGCCTCCTCAGCTGCTAGCGAACCAACGAAACCCCCTCCTACCGGCCGCCCATGTTGAAGACAGCGGACTTGGGGACCGTGGCCACCCAACGAGCAAGCGAGCGCGGACTCGAGGGCGTACCGGACGCTTTGCCTAGAAGGGCACAGCGACCTCGGTCTCTCTCAGTCCTCAACACTCCCCTGGACTCCCCAACTTGAAGACTCCCGCTCCAGCTCACGGGGAAAAAAAGAGAGAGAAAAAAGAAAAGAAAAAAAAAACTGACAAATCGCCGCACCACCCGTCGGAAGGCCGAAGGCAGCACCGGCCGCTGCCGCCGCAGCACCGGCCGCTGCCGCCACCGCACCGCGGCCAGTACTACTCCGCCTCCCCATCCACTAGCTTGGTTGCGAGGGCGCTGCGCGTCTCCTTCCGCCGGCGCGGGCTGGGGGAGGGAGCCGCGGCAGAGGGTCTGAGAAACCACCGCAGACGGAAAGTAGTGCCTGACGCCGCAGCTGCGGCTGCGGGACTAGCCAGGACAAAAAATAGAGTGGGGCAGGAGAGGGGGATGCAGTTCTTCAGGAACGCTACTAGAGCGTTTGAAGTCCACCTCTCTACTCGTCTCTCCCTCAGAAGAACGGATGAGGCGAAAAAGAAGTGTGCTCGTTCCACTCTGGGTCACAAAACAAACTCCAGGTGAAAAGCCGCATCTCCAGAGTGATGTGTTTTTTCAAAACACATGGCGACGGCAGTCTGAGTTAGCTCGAATTTTGTCCGAATTAATAGACCTGTAGTCGCAACAGCAAAGCAGAGCAACACTCTCAACTGAAAACTAAGCCCACAGAACTCAGCCACTGCAGAGCAACAATTCACGACATTAAATGAAAATGAAGACAACATCGTCATCCTTTCATTCTTCTCGTTTTGGGTGACACTAACTACACGTTTGAGCTATTCAGAGATTTACGCCTCTCTACTGCTTTGTTTTAAGAAAGTCAAACACCCGCTTAAGGGCTTCTGTCAACATTCTTAAAATTCACAGTCTCTGCGCCAATTTGAGTACTTTTAGTACTAGTACCTACCCCAACTCACTGGTCGGTTAATAGAAACAGGGAAAGGCTCTGGATTCAGCTGTTGCAAACTACCGTGGAAAGAAAAGGGTTTTAGCCAATCACAGTTCAAGAAAATAAATTATGTTTACTTCCCATCCAATCACAACAGGACTTGTAACCCATACACATACAAACCTCCAACTTGGAACAATTACTCCTTCTTTGATCAAAGCCTTGAATTCTTCTAAATCGAACCTCCATATAGATGTCAGTGAGAAATTCGACTTTAGACATAGTTTATAGTGTGTTTAAAAGGTAATTTTTAAAACTCCAGTTGTGTTTTTCTTTTCAGGGCCACTAGTGATTATACCAACTCCAAAAAATTCTTCTAGCCTAATAACACTCTAATTTCAGGTTTCTTTTTTCCCAAAAGTTTTTATATTTATTTCAGATATGTGTAAATAAAGCTATAGCCCTTGCTTTTCAAGAATCCATACTTTTGCAGAAAATGCATACAATTCTAGGCATCATACTGCTCTTTTTTTCCTTTTTCAGTTTTATTAGGTAGAATTATTACAGTTTGACTGCACATATACAATATATTGCATGTAAATACATATAGAATATACTGCACTTTTTTTAGTTTACATATATGTACTGATCATTGTTCATGATAATATTTGGTTTCTTAAAAGATTTTTCTAAACCTCTACAAAAGTTTCCTTTCTAAAGGAGTTTATACTAGAAACATGAATATTTAAAATAAACACAAGGCTTTAATCTGCTTTCTTACAACATCCAAGCTGAGCTGTTTGAAGCAGAGAATACATGGCCACTGCTAGCAGGTTAGAAATCAAAATTACAAGGAAGAGAGATTTTAATCATCATGTCGAATTCTGCTAATCTAAAGGCCAAATACAAAACTGTAATAGATAAACAAAGGAAAACCACGTCTAGAAATGCATAGTCGCAAGCTGAGAGAAAAATTTAATTTTACTTGTGCAATTTTATTTCCAAATCCATTCTTTTAGTACATACTATATAATACTCAGCAAATCACCTAGGGAACTACAGACTGAGATTTCTAAAGTATCAACTTGGATTCAGGAGCCAGTAAAATCACCTGGTGAAAATAATCAACATTCAGATATCAAATTCAATGATTTGCTTTGTGATCTTTGGTATGATATAATTGTTACCAAAAAATTGCATGCTTCCTAATCTCAGTGATATTCTAAGAGCAAGTAAGAAAATATAAAGTCACTTGAGAAAAGAGATGCAAGTAATACTATTATAATATAGATACCATTCACTGAATTATATTTTTAGAGTATAGGCTGTTGGGTTGCCTTAGATAAAAACTACCAGCTGATTTTAATTTTGTAGGTAAATTCCTCTAAATGGACCCCTAGGAACCTTCTCTACTTACAGAATGCTGTCCTTTTAAGTGCTCTGAAAAGCATGTAAATTCATCAAACAATCAAAACATTTCAAGTGCAGAAACAAGTTTTTTAAAAGGCCGTATATCCTCATAATATTTTCAATCAAACATCTTAAATTCTTAGTACTATACTCCAGATGGTAGTTTACGAATTTCTTAACTACAACTAGTGCCTAGGGTTTACCAAAAGCAAAAAATAAAACTTAAAAAATTAAAAAATAAACCCCCCCCCACTGATTTGTGAATATTTTGGTTTAGGAGAAACCTAAAGGGCACATTTTTAAATGTAGAATAAAAAGGACCTAAACGATTTTTGTTTGTTTGCTGGCATTTTTTGCTTAGTTTCAGGGAATACAGTTGACCCTTGAACAACATGGGTTTGAACTGCGAGTCCACTTACATGCAGGTTTTTTTCCCCAATAAATACTACTATAGTACTATACTAACCAGTTGGTTGAATCCACAGATGCAGAATGTGTTCTAACGCCAACTGTAAAGTTATAATCGAATTTTCTACTGCACTACGCCCCTAACCCCTGAGTTGTTCAAAAGTCAACTGTATTTACATTATTTTTACAAGCAAATCTTAACTGTAAGTAAGATGGAATTAAAATAAATTTTAGTCAGATTTGAAACCTTAGAATATTTGTTCAATTAACTCCCTTACATTCTTTACTTTCATAAAGATCCTCAGAAAATGCCAGTATTAGTAAATGTGAAGTTACAATACTTTTCACTATACAGGCAAACAGAGTAACACAGAAGTATTTAAAATTACTAACTTTATAGAGGCTAAAAATTCAGAAATATAGACTAGATCTACTCTTTCCATCCCCACATGCAAATATGTATATTAAATACACATACACATTAATACATTAATTCATGCAAATCTCTTACATCAAATACCTTAAATCTATATAAAAGATACATTGAGGGATTATTATTTTGTTTTTTTAAAAATCCACAAAAATTTGCTCATAAAATCTACTTGGTTTATTAAAAAAAAAAACCTGACTTACAAAGGAAGAAAATGTATTCATTGCAATAATAAGGGCCATAATTATCTGCTTCATTATCATTAATTAGTAGTTCATGAAGTTTAGTTTTATAAGCAAACAGTCGACTACTTCAATTTTCTACTTTTTGACCTGGTGTAATTATAGAAAGGACCAATTATCTGCTCTACTACATACCAGTATTTTGTGTTACTAAAGGTGTCTGTTTTTAACAACACAAATAGACAAAAAGGTTAAGTGCATGTACAGACAGTCTGCAACTTAATGATGGTTTGACTTAGGATTTTTTGACTTTAGGAACAGTGTGAAAGCAATATGCATTCAGTAGGAACCATACTTGGAACTTTTAATTTTGATTTTTTCCCAGGCTAGCGAGTAGTACGATACTCTCTTGATGCTGGACAGTAGCACCAAGCTGCAGTTCCCAGTCAAGCCATGCAATCACAAAGGTAAACAGCCGATACATACTTACAACCTTTCTATACCCATATAACCATCCTGTTTTTCACTTTCAGTATAGTATTCAATAAATTACATGAGATATGTGACACTTTATTATAAAACAGGCTATGTGTAGATGATTTTGCCCAACCATAGGCTAATGTAAGTGCCCTGAGCATGTGGCAGGTAGACTAGGCTAAGCTATGATGTTCAGTAGATTAGATGTGTTCAACACATTTTCAATTTAGGATATTTTCAATTTATGATTGAGTTATCCAGAGGTAACCCCATCCTAAACCAAGGAAGAGCTGTATCTTGTAATAATATTAGTCACCATTTATGGAACACTTACTATCTGTCAGACACTATGCTAAGTACTTTACACATGTAATCTCACTTTATTTTAAAGATGAAGAAAGCGACGTTTAGAGAAATTTGCCTAGGAATACACATTAAGGAACTGGAATTCAAAACCAGAACTTATGATTCCCAAGTATCTGAATTATGCTAAGAAGCAACTTAAAAGAAACATGAGGCCAGTCACCAAGTTGTTTCCTCCTTATTAATAACAAAGATTATCCATAACTGATTTGTTATGGATGAGACACACTGATGTGTCTCACATCCTGCAAGGTTCTGGAGATAGGGCCTCTGTCCTTAAGAAATTCAGTCTATCTGGAAAGATAGACAACAGAAATACCTTGGTTTGTTTTGTATTTAGGGAAGTATTACTGGAATGGCATACAAGATAATTAGGGCATTTTAACAAATAGTTTTCAAATCTGTAACTTGGAGGCTTTTATTCATTGTCAAATGTAAAGACTGGGCTGGGTTATGGGGTCTTAAACAACCATATACATGAGTACATCTAAGAACTGTGGAAGCCAATGTTAAAATGAAGAAAATCAAGAGTTTCAACTTAATTATGCAAACGGAGACCAAGAATAGAATGGAATATAAGTTTATGTTACCATGCTTTTTATTAAATCTTAAGTAATTTTTATTTAGGTATTTCTCTAAGCACTGTTTTAACTGAATTCCTCAATCACATTTAGGACAACGATAAAGTAATCAAATATTACTTCCTCAAGGAAGCCATCTGATACTGAGATTATCAAATCCCTAATAACAGATTTTCAAGACATTTCCCATTTGTCTTAGTATATGTAAATTATTTTTATATCTGTCTCCCTGGACAGACTATAAACTCTATAAAAGCAAGGACAATGTATCTTTATCTTGTTCCTAACAATGTTCCCAGCATCATTAAATCTTCTGCAGAGTAGATACTCAATAAATGCTATTGAATTAATGAAAGAATATAGCAAAAATGTACCTTTTTCTAAATCTAACCCAACTAAGAGGA